ACCTCGTAACTGTCAGGGTTGTTAAACACTGGAATAAATTGCCTAGGGAGGTTGTGGAATCTCCATCTCTGGAGATATTTAAGAGTAGGTTAGATAAATGTCTATCAGGGATGGTCTAGACAGTATTTGGTCCTGCCATGCGGGCAGGGGACTGAACTCGATGACCTCTTGAGGTCCCTTCCAGTCCTAGAATCTATGAATCTATGAACCCTAGCTGCGGACCGATTTTTTGTTAATCCTTCCATTTAGTTTAAATTTGAATTAGCTCATGATCACTCGAACCAAGGTTGTCCCCTACAACCAGTTCTTCTGTGAGGTCCTCGCAGCACTAAATCTAAAATGACATCACCTCTTGTTTTTTTGGTGACTCTTTGGTGAAGCAAGCTGCCACATCCAGGAAAACGTGGGCCCTACCATTATTAGTAGCATTTATTCTCCATTAAATTAAAGTATCTCGTAATCACAGAATTCTCAGTAATATTTATTTCATTAAAAATGTTAGAGGTCTCTATTCATATCCACATCAGATCCTGGGAGTGTGTAACATAGCCCTAGCGCTATCCCAGGGGAGCCTTGGGGAGCTTTCTTCTCCAAAGTGATTATGCCCCAAACAGACTGTCTTATCCATTCCATCACTTCTAATTTCTTTACAGTCTATCTCATTCATAATATTCAATGCTACTTCACCACCTTTATCTTTATTTCTGTCTCTCCTGAACAGCACATTCCCTTCAATCCCTGTACTCCAGTCATGACTACAATTCAACTATGTTTCTATTATCCCTATAATATCTGGCTTCACTTCCTGCACCATTAGTTCTAGTTCCTCCATTTTGTTACCCAGGCTCCTTGCATTGGTGTACAAACATCTTAGTTGTTTCTGCTTGTCTATGCCCAGATTCCTCACCCGATTAGGTACAGTCATTCTAGTGCCAGTATTGCCTACCTGTTAGTGTAATTGGTATTGGCACTATCTTTCTTCTTGATATCCATTCCCCTACTCTCTGCTGTTGCTTTCTCCATTACTGTATTCTCTCATTTAATATTCCTCCAGCTCAATATTAGCTGAAGTGGGTAGTCCAGAATAAAGGCAATGGAAAGATGGCAATGATCAGATGGAAAAGCATTTCCTTGTCATAGACATAACTGGTGGAAAGTTTTCTGAGGGAATATTTATACTGCAATAAAACCTACATAGCAGTGTGTCTCAGAACCTGGGTCAACTGACTCAGGCTTGCGGGGCTCACACTACCAGGCTAAAAACAGGCAGTATAGACGTTCCCGTTCAGACTGGAGTCTGGGCTTTGACACCCACACCCTTTGCCTGGTTCAAACCTCACCACCAGGAAGCAATTAACCATTCAGAGGCTTCAAATGGCAGAGCAGATAAAAGTTCAAGAGTATGAGCCTTGAGGCCCCTACCAAGGCACCAAAAAACAGACCTGTCTCAGCTGCTTACTGTGGGGACCACAGCCCAGCTACTGCTCATACATAGAGAACAAACATTTAAACAAGCAACCCACAGATGGATCAAATGCACCACTCACCAAGTCCAGCTATCTTCATGCACAGAGTCTGCAACAGTGCCCTCTGAAACTCCTGTTAGCTGCTGCTCTTCACAATGGTAAAGCTATAAAGTTTCCTTAAAAGCTCCTATGTTCATAAATAAAGTATCACATAGTGCAACTATCCCTCTGAAGTCTATCTTACCAGATTTCACAAGCTAAGCTGATGTGGACCTCTGGGAAATGCGGAAGGACAGGGACCATCGGAAGAAAAATAGCATTTACAGGAAATATTGCTGATTCACTTGGTAGTCCTCTTTCCTGAAAGTCTGTATTGAACCAACGTTCTTGCACAGTGTTAGGAAACTTTGCTGCTGGAGGGTGTGTCTTTTTGCTGAAACATGAAACTGATGTCCTGGCCATTTAGATCCACTGAACTGTTTGTGGTTATTATAGATTATATGAAAGAGAAGGAATATTTACCTTAGTGTCCTGGCCAAATTTCTAGTGGGAATTTTGCCTACCTAAAACTCTCTCTTGCAGATTCAAAAATTTTAATTTCAGAAGTTCATCTACTCTGACCTCCTGCATAACACATTCATAGTTTCAGCTGGTTGTGGTATTACTGAATATATTATTATTATATTATCGTCTTCCTTTTCTGAATTGTTGTGCAGTGTTACAATGAGCTGTTAAACTGTTGTCATATTCCACTCCAGAAGTGGCTGCATTTCAGGATGTATGAATGTTTCCTGCATATTAGTTTATAAATTGCTTTAAAAAAAAAAAACCCTCTGGGATAAAAAGTGCTACATAAGTATAATATCTTTTTATTAACTGAAATAAAATGTAATATTTAATACAAAAGAAAACACTTGCTGTGATCCATAACTGACTATATTCCACTAAATGAATAGAGTCATATAATTGAAGCTATAGCCACAGAAGTCTGAAGTAATAGTATATAAAAATATTTTAAGTCAGTCTTTGTGTAAGAATGAAGATAATTACTCTATGATCTGTTTGACTTCCTAATAGTAGAACTTTTGAAAACATAAATTTTGCTAAAGAGTCTAACACAGTGACTGCTTGTAATTAATTCTAATGTTGTTGTTTTATGGGATGAAGTGTACTATATACTTCAGCCAGACAGTTCATAACTATATTCAGCTGCAAGTGGTAAGAAAGATATATTCATCCCATCAAGCAGAAAGCAGAAGTGGGTAACTAATGGACAATGTATTGAAGGTGGCAAAAAGCATGGTGTGTGAAGTGTGATACCCTTATTAGTAATGGCCCAAGGACACATAGCAGGTTGTACTAACAAGCTGAACCCACAGATTTAAGAATGGATTAGGGACGGGGGAGATCCGCAGCTGGTCTAAACCATCATAGTTCCATTTACTCCACAGAGTTACAACAACTTACACCCGCTGGGGATCTGCCTCACAGAGTGCAGCCAATAAAGTGAAATTTGCACATACACAGGCCACACCCTTACTCCTACCAGTAGATCTTCCTGCATATCCATAATTTCCCATTGTACCTGCCATATTTACTGACATAGAATGTGCAATTAGATAAATATATCTAGCAAAATGTTAATAAAAGGCCTGATGAAAACAAATAAAACTTCTCATTGCCAAAAAGCAAAAGAGCCCATAGGAAATAAACTGTATTCTGCATCACATATTCCTATCTACAGATGCCTACTTTAGAACTCTGGTTTCCGTTTGTTAGTAGAAACCATCTGTGGAGCTAGGTGAAAACCAATCTGCAACTCAAATTTCAGTTGTGGTGAAATCTATGTATTTTAGGATTTTGTACTGTTGCAAACCTCTTTAGTATCTGAGCACCTTCCATATAAAATTGACTAAATAATTCACCATGCCAGTCTATCAGTTTTGTGTGTGTGTGTGTGTTTGTAAGAACTAAAGAATGAAGTGGGTGAACTGGAAATAGGAAAAAAGTCTCACTGAAATCAGCTACTATACTAGAGAACTGGGGGGCAGCAAATGTTGTAGTCGGGTCTGGTTCTAGTCAATAACTTCATAAATGACTGGTATAGAGAGCAAACTTACAAAGTTTGCAGACAATAGCAAGCTGGGAGGGGTTGCAAACACTTTGGAGGACAGGATTAAAATTCAAAATGATCTTGACCAAATGGAGACATGGTCTGAAATAAACAGGATGAAATTCAATAAGGACAAATGCAAAGTTCTGCACTTAGGATAGAATAATCAATTGCACACATACAAAATGGGAAATGATTGCCTAGGAAGGAGTACTGCAGAAAAGGATCTGGGGGTTATAATGAACACTAAACATGAGTCAGCAATGTAATACTATTGCAAACAACATTCTGGGATGTATTAGCATGAGTGTTGTAAACAAAACCTAAGAAATAATTCTTCCACTCTACTCAGCACTAATAAGGCATCAACTGGAGTACTGTGTCCAGTTGTGGGCACCACACTTTAGGAAAGATGTGGACAAATTGGATAAAATCCAGAGGAGACCAACAAAAAGTGATTAAAGGTCTAGTAAACATGACTTATAAGGAAAGATTGAAAAAACCTGTGTTTATTTAGTCTGGAAAAGAGAAGACTAAGCAAGGCATGATAATCTTCAAGTATGTAAAAGATTGTTATAAAGAGGAAAGTGATAAATTGTTCTCCTTATCCACTGACAACAGGACAAGAAACAGTGGACTTAATTATGGGAACTTTAGGTTAGACATTAAGAAACATTTCCTAACTGTAAGGGTAGTTAAGCACTAGAACAAATTACCTAGGGAGGTTGTGGAATCTCCATAGTAAGGTGTTTCTCTAACGTGTTCTTAAAAACCTATCAGGGATGGTCTAGAGCAATGGTTTTCAACCTAGGGTCCACAGGCCCCTGGGGGTCTGCAGACTATGACTAAGATTTACAAAGGGGTCCACTCCTCCATTAGAAATTCTTTAGGGGCCCTCAAATGAGAAAAAGTTTGAAAACCACTGGTCTAGAAGATACTTAGTCCAGCATCATTGCAGCAGGCTGGACTAGATGACCTATCAAGATTCCTTCCAGTCTTACATTTCTATGATTCTATTGTCTACAAGATAGTAGCCTTACTTCTTGGTAAACTGGGTGAAACAATAATTAAAGGTAGATGTAGATAAATGATAAAAACAAGCATAGGGGTTTTTTAATATAGTACATATTTAATTTATTGCCAAAAGATACCTTTAAGATCAAGAGCTTAGTAGGATTCAGAAAAAAACATGTAGACATACAAATTAGTCTCTGCCCATTTATCTATCTATCTATCTATCTATCTATCTAGCTATAGCTATGTATAGCTTGCATGCTCTGGTTCTTTGGAAAAGAAATAGTCAAAAGAAAGGACTGGACAGAAACTGACTGAAGTTAGTTTCTGCCCCAACCTCACCTCCTGGGGCAGGAAGTGAGTTACTGACTCAACAGGCACCATCTGGTACAGTGTGTCTGGTGCACCTGCTATCTGAGGCAGTGACATGAGAGAGGGGTGAAATTAAGTCAGTGATAAAATTTGAGTAATGTAAGGAGTCCAATGCTGCCCAATTCTATGAAAATGTTAATGCATACTGTGCTGCTCTGCAACTATAGCTATATAGATATTTGCAAAATTTAAATAAAACAAATCCTCATATTTCAGGCAGAAGCTAATCAATAGCTAATGGGGGTTAGGAAGAAATATGCTGGCAGATGTTCCTATGATTGTCCACTACAGGGCTTATTGCACCTTTCTCTGAAGAATACCACCACTATTATTGTGATGGGGTATATCAAATCCTCTGAGACCCCTTGCTGGAGGCCTTCTGGCCCTGCCACACCCCACCCCAGAAAAGGTCAGTGGCGAGGGTCCTCCAAGCTGCCTAGAGTGGCTGTGTGGGACACAGCCAATCAGGGCCCAGCAGGTCTTTATAAGAGCTGCAGCAGGGCCAGAGTAAGTTGTAGTTCCTTGCTGGAGCTGGGGGAGCATGGATGTTGTGTGGCAGGCAGGCAGGCAGGCAGAGCTGCAGAATCTCCGAAAGGGCGGTGCTGCTAGAAGTCGGGGAGGGTGAGAAGGTGTTCTGAGTTGGTTGCTGGGACTCCATTAGGACAAGGCCCTGAGGTAAGGGTGAAGATGGTACAGGGCCTTGGGGAAGCAGACCAGGGAATTAGAGAAGCTGTGTGACATATAAAAAAGGACCACAGTGGATGGCTGTTTTCTACAGGGTCCCTAGGTTAGGACCTGGAGTAGGGGTGGGCCTGGATCCCCCTTGCCTCTCTTTTCCCCCCTCTCCCCCTATAAGTCACTGGGAGAAGTGGCCTGGACATTGAGGCACCTCAGAGAGGGAACTGAACTGTGGCAGCCCAGCTGGAGAGCTGTGACCAGAAAGGGCTCAAGGAGACATTGTCTCCAGGGAGGGAGCCCTGGGGCAGTGCTCTATTCTGGAGCAGGGACAAACAGAGAGAGAGAATGCAGGCCCAGGCACTCGGCCAAAGGCAGGCACTTGTGAGAGGTGAGTGTGCCCCCGTTACAGACAGGATAATGGACTAGAACAGCACTCGTCTGATCTGACATGGCAGTTCCTACATCCCTAGTCATGCTCTATTGCCTAGTTCTACTGGCTGCTCTTGGACTTTGGGAAAGGAAGAGAAAAGAGATAACAGGACTAATTCTAATCTCAGACCTACGTAAATCAGACCAAAACTTCAATGGTAGTTAAGGGATTTTGTACCTTGCTTTATCAAGCCCCTTGCATGCTCTGGTTCTTTGGAAAAGGAATAGTCTTTGGAAAAGTAATGTAAGGAGTCTAAGGCTGCCCAATTCTATGAAAATGTTAATGCATATTGTGCTGCTCTGCAACTAATTCCACATCCTGTATAAAAGAGGACAAAATATCTCATTTCCCCCTTCCCATCTACCAGTCATGGTGGCTTCCAGTACTAAGCCATGTGACCTGTCAGGGTTCTGAGCAGGGGCTGAGAGTTGTAAGAAGACCTCTCTCTATGCAAGACTCCTAGTGGCTGGGCCACATGTCACAAATATCACATAAAATGCAGAATTATCTGTGCTACACATGTGTTCAAGTATTAACACAACCTTCACACCTGCTGTTTATAACTCATGTCCTATATAAAAAGGAATAAAAATCACATGAGAAAATTCTACTGTTTGCCATGTAATTGCTTGAAGTCAGCTTTACCGTTCTCAGACTGAATATGATCATGTGATGGGACATTCCAGGGTGTAATTC